GAACATTCAAAGCTTTCGCCTGACCCTAGAGAAGCCAATAAGAGTTTTTCAATTAATGGCAACAGGAGGAGAACATGACTTTCACAGTTCCTGTTTCTACATGCTGCAACACAGATGCATCCCATACCTTGCTATGGAATAAAAGAGGGCAAACTCTTCGTTGCTGTGGCAACGGGAGAGAGGACTCTTTGCTATCATGTTCTGTTGTAATTTTGAAGCTCAGCATCTGTTTTGTGGCATGTCATGTGTTTCTCTCCTGGATCAAATTAATGTTTTCTTCCTCTGCAAAACGCCCATCAGGGAAAGGGCAAAGAAGAAAACCATCAACACAAACAGCCTCCAGATGCCGCTTCACCTCCCCCCCACTTCACATCTGCTGTAATTGTTAAATCATGTTTGCAAATAACAAGGGAATGCTGCCTTGTACCTCTCAACCACTCCCCAAGATACAGGAGATGAATGCAGCCAGCACTCTGCACATCCCCTCAACGGATATGAGAGATGAAACTCAATTAAACTGGTTCAGAAGAATGCCAAGGTCTCTTTTACGGAGATTATCAACTGAAGTCTGCACAGAATTTATAGCTTTGGCTGCCTTTGCCATCTTTTTCTTACTAAATCTCTCACTCCTGTGGCACTTGGATTTGTTGACCTCTCATCTTTGGGTTGTTAACACCCCTTGCAGCTCAGAGCAGTGTGGAGGCAGCACAGGAAGCAACAGTGGACAGAAATATGATTAATGACATGCTGACCGAGGTCAGCAGCCCCTCTATGAACAGACACAGGCAGGCAGTCCAAATGACACAAGGCTGCAAGTGAAATTTTGCTGTCCCATGCCTAGTCCACTCTTTTTTACAGTAGGCATATTCCCAAGTTGACATTCAGAAAATCCTGCTTAGGAAGCAAAAGCACACAAATCTCCCCACTGTGCCCAGGGGCTGAAAACATGTGTTTTCTGGTTTGGGCCTACCTAGCTTAGGTAAGTGACAAGGACCAGATTCCAAAGAAGGCAAATTGGAAAATCTGAATTGTGCTGATTTACATCCACCTCCACTTGAAGAATCACAACGGGCTTTACCAATATTAGTCACTTAAACCTAACCATATTCTTTCTGAGGAAGGGTTGTGAAGTATTTTCCCCATGTAGAGATAGTAAAACTGAGATAGAGAGAAGTTAAGTGATTTGTCCAAGGTCATACAGATCATATTATAGATTAAGTCTCTTGATTCTTGGTTCTGTGTACAGTTTGTGGTGCCTCACAAATGAAAAAGTCCTTGCGTCTTCAAACACAGTTTTCTGACTCAGAAGGGGGATAAAACTCTCTTAGCACACATCCTTGAACATTTAAAATTCTGAAGTACCAAAGGAGATATTGCATCATGAAATGAATAGCACACAATGAACAGGGACCTGCAAACCATAGTAAGAAAGAATAATTTTACTCATACTTTCTATCCCAGAGGAGGTTGAAGTGATTTTTTTTACATAAATTGGCTTAGGATTCTTTGGGCAAAAAATGGGAACATAAATGGACCATCATCTTTTTGGTGAAGCTAGAATTAGTTTGGTAGATAGGTGTATGGCATACCTCCTTTGTCAGGGTGCCTCCCTATTCTTCCAGAGCTCAGCTTTTATTTAAAAAAGGCTCTAGGTACTAGAGTTGATTCAAGTGAATAATGTGCAGACATCTCCTGGGATAGGGACAGACATTCAAAAAGCCTGAGCCTAAATTGATTCAATGTTTGCAGGTTAGTCTAACCTGGCTAGGCTGAACCAGTTTCCAACCATTCAGACAATCCCTCTGGACTGAGGAAACTCAGGCACATGACTGCAGTGGCTCAGGTTAGGAGCTGGGGGTGCTAGACCCCTTCCACAGAGATAATCTGAGGAGGGTGTGGGGGGCATGGCCAGGCCCCAGCAGGGCTCTGATTAGGGAGGAATCCCCACTCCGCCTACACCATCCCAGGCTTTTCTCTGCTTGCTGCTCAAGGGCCAGGCATGTTGCCAGCCTGCAGCCCCGGGGTAGCACTCTGAGGCAGTGCATGCATCTGTTGATGATGCAGAGCTTTTCACTCTCCCTCCCTGCTTCTGTATACTGTCTGTAGAAAACTAACAGGAAAGCAAGCCAGGGGAGGGGGGAAAGGGGAGCTGATAACAGTGTTTATCATCCTTATGTCAGTGTTTGTTGCCCCATTAAGAAAACAGAGAGATGTTACTAGTTATCTGTTGATTCAGCACAGACTCAGCATGTGGCTTGCTGTCTAATACACAGACACCACTCAGCAAGGCAGAGGGGAAGGGGAATTTGTGCTTAGCAGAGTGGTGAGGGGGAGGGAGGGAGTACACATCTCTTCTCAAACAGTGTTTCCAAGGCAGGACATTAAGCTACCTGTTGATTAGCTCCAAAAAGCCTGTCTGCTTCTGTTGCCTCCCACAGCATGAACTGTAGCCAGCATGTGGTCTGCTACCTAATGCTGAGGTGTCTGTGAGGGATGGGAAATGCCTGCTTAGCACAGTGGGGAGGGGAGGAGGGAAGAAGAATCCAGGCAGACGCCTGCAGAGACTGCCAAGCTCTAGTGAGGCAGCGGAGGGGAGGGGCCAGCCCTGCTGTGGAGCAGAGAGCCCCGCCCAGCCGGGGAGCATGCCAGGATGCTGGGGGAGTCTGATCTATATAAAACCAGCAAGGGGTCTGGGACAGACTTTGCACAAACTGGTTTGAGCCAAATCAGTTACGTTTGATACTACATTCAACCAGGTTTATCTCAAACCATTTTCAGTCATTCTCAAACTGGTTTATGTGCACCAAACATCTGTTCTGTTACAGGTTTAAACCAGTTTCTGATCACTTAAATAGGTTTGTGTGTAATGTCTGTCCCTAGCCCTAAAGTTTACAGAGAGTTCTGAGGACATATCTACACTGCTAACTAGCCATATGAGAAGGCACCACACTGAAACACATCATATGCTTCCCCTGCCCCCCACCCCAAATTAATTAGTTTTCCTGCAGCATTGCATGAAGGCAACAACATGATTTCTGGCTTGGGAGAGAGCACTGGGAGAGAAAACAGGGCACTGCCTACCATGTCATAATGTACAGCCAGCATCACTCCACTGCTTCCCTCATTTCCAATATATTTTCTATCAGTAGAACCATGTTTTCAAACTACAGTATTAGACAGTGCAGTTTTCTGTTTTTAAATCTGATCTCTCATGCAACATAAACCAATTAAGTGACAAAATCCAAAGCTTCACACAGAATTATGCTCTTAGAGAGGATATAGGTTATCAGTCATTTCTTTGGGGACTGATCTTGGGACCAGTGAGACTGAAGACATACCATTCATTAATGACTTGGAAGAGGAAATGGGCAGCAAAAGAGTTGTTTGCTATGACATTCAGCTCTTTCACTCACAGTTAATGGCAAGACATTTCAGGAAGTCTTAAAGACATCTGTGATCATGTGGCTTACATTAATCTGGGTGATTGTAGATTGGGTTCAGGGTGTGCACACTTTTGCTGGTGCCAGGAGCTGTGCCACGAACTCAGCCTAAGAAAGTTGGGGTGTGGAGAGGGGTGAGTAGGATTGGGGGAGGGGGAAGCAGCAGGTCCACAGGGCAAGGGGGCATTGACAGGTCCAGCCTCTAACACCGACCATACTTCTTTTCAGTGCCTGTGTACTGACTGAATATGGTCCCTTTGTGACCCATCTCTTGGATTTGCTCGCTGAGTCAGAGGGGGAATTGGGAAGCCTTTGCCTCCTTGAAAGCTGTTGATGTCATTGACAATTATAGCACAATATATTTCCTTTACTATATTTGACTGCCTCCCTTTCATAATTAAGCCGCTGATAATGCATATTTTGGTAATAAATGTTAAGTATAATGGCAGTGTCCATTGCCAGTGTAACTGTCTGAAGATTCTAGCCCTGGCATTTCCAGACTATATGACTTCTAGGTGTTTTAGAAGTGAATATACAGTATCTAGTGATAAAAGAGGGATGTGGAGGATACCAGGTCTCTTCCCATGGGGGGCCCAGGGCCTTTGGGCCCCCACCTATGCTAACCAATAATTTCAAATAGGAGACCATACAAGGACTCAGCAACTTGGGAAGATCATACAGCATCTGGTTGGCAAAGCTGATAGAACCAATGGGTCTGATTCACATGCCTTTGTTTTACACCACTGCCACAACATTAACTTCAACAGCATGGCTTTTGGTTTTCTTTGATCCCTTCATTGTCCATAGGCATCCTACTGCTGTTCCTCCCCTCTAGCTGTCAAGATGAGCAACTCCTACCTTCAGATAACATAGTGATATGTTGGAAATTGTTGCTTTCTCCTAAACATTCTGCTGTCAGCATTTCGTATTAGTAGAAATGTTTTTTTTAATTTTCAGTTACTTTGTACAAAGAGGTCCTGAACTCCAAAGGACAAGCAGAACAGATAATTCCCTAACAAGCAAAGTCTGAAGGCTTAATTTAGCCCTGCCAAAAGCAGATGCAATTCCACTGACTTCACTGGAGTTACAGAATGTCCACCTAATGTACAAAAGGGTTGATCTATCCCTACTCTCCTAGTTTAGCTCTGTGTTGCCTAGAAACCTTTGCTTTCAAAGTAATTAACCATGTGTCAACATCTTGTAACACTGAAGTGCAATTAAATAAATGAATAATAGGCAGATGTACATTTTAAAACATCCCTATAAGAGACTTCTAATAGCAAGTATTGATCTTTGTTTCTTCTTAAGATCAGCATTTAACATCAGTTACTGAAGAGGAATCAAGGCTGCAAGAATCGATATCAATTATTTTACATCTACTTCCCCCTCGCCCAGTTTCCTGTAAGTATCAAAGCATGATAATACTTAGGGATGATGGGTGCCTAAGGAATTATGTGTTTTTCCTTCTAAGTTATCACTTTGCTACAGCAAATGTGCACAAATTCGTCAGGATTCCTCTGGTACTAAAAGCCCAGAGAGCCACAGAGGAAAGTTGCTTACTGTTTCTAGGCTTCTCCTCATCCATGCCTTCATCTTCATTTTCTGGATCAATGTCTTCTGCTTGAGTTATCCAGTCCAGGTACCCCTTCAAGTCCTCTTCCAGTTGCTGCTTCTCCCGCAACTTCTGAAAGTCACCCCGGGCCTTTGCCTTTTCTCTTTCCTTGGAAAACTCCCTGGCAAGAGGGAGGGAGGGGCAAGATGTAGACAGAAAAGATTGAAAAACAGTGGATTAGATTGCTTTGCATTGGAAATACTTCATCTCTTAACTGAGACACTTAACGGCCTCTCTTCATTCAAAGTCCCATTGATATGTATGTGGAGCAGTGCCTGTCAGACACACAGATATGACAGCTGGCCTATTTACTTTCTCCCTGTGTTTGGAAGAAACTAAGTACACTTTTACACCTTCAAATCTCAACATTTGCTTATGCATTCAAATTAAATTTACAAGCAACATTTCTGTAAAATGTCACTCTTTTTCTATTATCATTCTTTTTCATACATTTCTCTTTACTGGTTATTTGTCAATATCTGTGCTAATAGTCACTATTAACCCAATAAGCCAAATTAAATGCCAGGCAATAATTTGACATCTGCAGAGTAGACAGTGGCTCTGACTTTTAGTGAGGTCTTAACCCAACCTCCAGTATCACAGGTGAAATTGCACCTAAATTGGTCCAGTTGTGGATATAATCAATGGCAACTACCATTCTGTGAGCTCATTTAATTGCGAGGGAAAATTGCACCCACAAATTTAAAGAAGTATGTTTTGCCACAGGAATCCAGAAGAAGAAGCTATTATCTGATTCTGACTGACTAAAACAAAGCCTTTGGAAATACAAAAAGAGGGAGAAAAACGTAAGCAAATATTGGCTTCTGAGTGGCTTGGGGGTGGATACTTGGTAGCCTGATGAAAAAGTGTTATTTAGTGTATGTGCTTAACACAGCATGTAGAAGAAAGAATGTCATGTTGCTTATCCATTTTTGTTATGTGGGCTGTCTTCTCACTTCCTTTCTGACAGAGAATCATACATTTCCTCAGCTCTTTTTGAGATGCTGCATAGGTCTCCAGTTATACTCTCTGCAATGGTTCTAAGCCAGTGGTCTCCAAAGTGGGGTACGTGCACCCCAGGGGGTGCGCAAGACAATCCATTGGGGTGTGGGAAGAAAATATTAGAACTTCTATTTATATTTATATAAATATACATATATTGGGGGTGCGTGCTCAAAAATTTTTTACCGATAGGGGTGCGCGATCAAAAAAGTTTGGAGACCACTGTTCTAAGTCAGTGAGATGCTTTTATTTTAAAAAGTGAGTTTGGTGGTACAGATGTATGCTGAACTGACAGACCTCAAGCTTTGAGACGTTTTTCCACAGAACAAGTAGAGCATGGGCAGTAAGAGTGGCATCTTCCCACACTGCTCTGCCAACGGGGATCCATCTAGACTTCTGGGAACTGGATTTGGTTCTACACAGGCCCTGTGTCTTGCACAATCATTTACTAAATTGAATATTGGTACCATTTTACACCCACATAGCACACGTGTATACGGCTGGCTGAAGCATGAGGCTGGGGGACTCAACCCCACCATCTCTGGGCAAGTTCACTGTCTGGTCAAAGATAATTATCCTCTTTTGAGAGACAGCCAACAAAGGGTGGTATTTTCAAAAGTGTTCAACCTTGTTTTGGGTCTACTATCATTGAAGTCTATGCCGATTTTACCATTGACTTCATTTAATTAGAGAGAGAATTAGACCAAAGCTAAACACTTTTGAAAATCATACCCAAAGATGTCAATCAGTGTCAACTACTTTGTCCTCAAGTAGCTCAGGTGGAATCAGTGGCTGCTATTGCGGAAGAAGTGGTTTCCATTTTGCTTAATCCCAAGTCAACTGAAATCAATGGGAAGATTCCCAGTAATTTCAATGGGCTTTAGATCAAGTCTTTTGTGGGGTTTCTATGCAACTTCCACTGTTAAAAAATAAATATAGGAAATGGTCTTCCAGAACTGGACAAGCCTGTAGAACAGAACATGTGACAACAAATACCTGCATAACCTTCTCTTTTGCTGTCTTGCTAGGTTTTTATCTGGCCTTATGGGCTTGTGAGAATAAGGGTTGAATGTGGAGAGCCCTCTGGACTGAGAGTAGCTTCGCAACCACTCCTAAGGTAGTTCTCCCTCAAGGCAGCAATAGTTAACACAAATATGTCAAAAATGAAAAATCAAGCTTTCTTATCCTGGAAGCCACTTTGTTGTTTGGATAGGTATGAAAGATGTATGGTGAAAAATGTAATCAATAATAATAACACTTTCCACTTCTACACAATCTCTCCCCTGGGACTCTCAAAGTGCTTTTAGTCACCTTAATGAATTAGCCCCCAGAAAACCTATTTAAGGTTGGTAAATGTTATTAACCCTATTTTATCAATGGATAAGCAGAAGATCAGAGAAATTAGAGCAAAATATAAATCATGCCTGGGTGCTTAAATTTAAGCACCCAAATCCACCATCAAGACAAGTAGCCTGATTTTCAAAGGTGCTGAGCACTTGACTCCACTGTGAACTGTGGGCTGGCCACAGTTACATGGATGTGGACTGAAGTGGCTAAGTTGAGATAACCAAATATAAATAATGTTGGCTTTTGGTATGAGTCAGTCCAGATCAGAGTCAGAACTGAAAATTCCTAGATGCCCAATTTAAATGATCAACAATAGCATGGACCTTTCTCCAAAGTTGTATGGGTATTTCCCATTTAAGAAACCCCTCTCAAGAAAATGACAGAAACAAATGTCCTTAATTTCTGAGCTGAAGTAACCTTAATACATTGAGAACAAGGCAGTATTGAAACTGATGAATGAATTCAAAACATTTCATAGGTAGTATGCCACCTTGCAGCCAGGTTAATTCAGTTAACGACCAACAATTGTTCCCAAGGGATGGCTATGTAGTATCCTGTATGAAATGGATTGGTGATTTCAGAGAAGCTCCTAGCATGCACATCAGCACTTCTCCTGAAACAACCATCCCACTTGGCATCAATTGCTTTTACTGACAGCCCCAGGAGAGAGGCCAGTGATTCAATGGGCCTGTTCAATGAATGACCATCTCAAGCTTATAGGAGGCCTTTTCAGAGTAAGGCTGGAATATGATGGCAGGGTGGAATAGGGAAAGCTTGCAGAAGTATTGACCAGCCTGCCTTGTTTCAGGGAATAGGCAAGATCTATTCAGGGCTTCAAACTGGACAGGTTCTACTAGTGTTTAATTTGCTTCATTTTCTCCCTCTTTCCATAGACAGCTAAAGAAATATTCACTTAGACACAAACTCAACAAACAAGTGATTTTCACTGTGTGAGAGGCTAACTCAAGATCACAAGTATAAATTCCCTCTCCTGTCCTGTATGCATCTGGGAATGGTTTTCCCTCCCCCTCTGGTGATGTATTACACCACTGTTGTTCTACATCCCATTGCTGTATGCTTTTCTGGTGCTGGGAGGAGCAATGGAAAGTGATGAAAACAGCAAAATTACAGCAGTTTAAAGGACTATCTTTAAGCCCAGCACATAGATTCAAACCTGACCTACTCTGGTAGGTGGCATAGAATGTTAGCCCTGCAATATTATTAGGTTACTGTTAGGCTGAACAAAACAGAAATGTGAATCTGAATACCTCCATGATTTAAGGGTGCACAATATTCAAAAGCTGAACTCAAATTTGGTACAAATCTCACCTGCTCCCTCATGTCTCACTGGTGGGCTGAAATGGACACCACAGGCATGAGCACCCCAACTCTTTGGGGGAACTAAAACCAAAAGTCAAAGCTGCTGCTTTAGCTGTTATCTAGAATCATCTTGGTTGGACGGAGACATAATATATAGTATTTTCCTTAGGACATATGTAAATCCTCTGAATTTAAATCAAGTGAATGGTAGGATTATAGCCATGTACTTCAATATCTGTTTTAGCATTTACTTAAGCACATGAACAGAATGTAGCTTGGGCTGATCACAAAGGCTATAAAGAATGAAATACCCAAGGAAGATAGAAGATGGCCTTCATTTTAGCCAGATCTGCACATAGCCATGAGTTCTGCAGCTGCAAGAAGTAGGTGCATTCAAAGCATTTCAGTGAGTGCAATTAGTTGCACCCACAACATTGAGAAGCAATTAAATTAGGCCTATATGAACAAGAACATAGTATTATCTCTTTAACTGATGAAGTGTAAGAAATCATTTCTCTGCCTACAGCTCAGTGGATAAATGGAGAGGGAAATTCAAGAGACACACAGAATAAGTTACTTAAAACTACACTATTCATGAGCAATATATTATGTACCATCTATACAGATTAAATCAATAGTAGCTAGGTGTGAGAGAAATATCTGAGTCTGGGCTCAGGGGCGTGGGGGGGGGGGAATATTTAATGGCTCAGTATAATTCAGAACTGCTTTAGAAAGTGCAATTTGAGATTTGCTTTTTTTCCCCCCCCAAAGATTTTTGGTACCCTCAACTTCTCATTGTAGCTTGCTAAAGGCTAATATCTTTTCAGGGCCATGACCAACAAATGGCACCCAAGGTACGTATGAAAAGTACAGTATAAGTGGTGTGTTTATCACAACATACTGTCAAAACATAGTTAAGAAGATCCAAATCAATGATAACACCAGGATGGACCATATGATTAATTTCAAGCCTCTCTAGGAAGTACTTATGTGTGGTATGACTGTGATGATGTCACTATTTTAGGTGCTATGCACTTAGATGCTAAACATTTTTTGAGTCTAAGTCAGATGGGAAAGTTCAGTTTTCAAATGTCAGCTGAATAATAGGATAGTCAAATGTTCCATTGTTTAAATACCAAGATCACTTCGTTTATAGTGGAAATTTCTTAGGGCTGGCAGTGTGGGCACTGACAATTCTTTTTTAAAATGGACATCATATAATCTTTAATCAGTTGCCACAGACTGTCTTTGATTGCATCTTGACATGATAGCTTTGTTAACCCACTTTTTTGCATGTTTACCAGCCTTTTGTGTTTTACATGCTTACCTGTAGATTTGAATAAAATTAAATAGAGGACTTTCTGGCATTAGGGAACTTTTTTCTGAAAACTGTATCCACACTATCATTGTCTAGGCTTCCACAGACTATTGCCTCTCACTTTACTATCAGGACCTCTTTTCCTCTCCAGTTTTTCACTTGAAGCTCCTCCTTGCAGCAGCTGTCACAGCTGCATGTTTCCCTCAAGACAGGTAATGCAGAAATGAATGAACGCACTTCAAAACTTATTGTTATTTGATTCTTTTCAGGCAACTAATGGGGGAGGGGGGAAAGAGAGGAGGGGTGTTCTTATTTGATCCTACTGGTTGCTTGCCCTTCCTGTTACCCCAAAACCCATGCACATAATTTCTAAAATGCATCTAAGTTCTCATTCTCTTAAGGACATATTGTTCCTGATTAGCAATGGCCCCACAACCAAGAGAACATCAAATATTAGATATGAGAGGTTAGAGAAGTCTGGCAAGCCAATATGTATGGGCTTTGACAACTTTCACTGGAAGCTCATTTAGAAGAAGCAAGATTTTCCAGGAACAAATGCTTAAAAGTAAAGCTTCTAAAGCCATGTTTATGCACCTAAATAATGTGGCTCTTTTTAAAAAATAGGAAGCACCCAGAAATGCCAAAATATGGCATTTGGAATCTTATGCTAAGGAATCATTTTTTGAAATGTTGTCAGGAATGTTTGTTGGCTTGAATCTTTCAATTACCTGCTTTCCCAAGGGCAGCAAAATTTTAACTACTGGGTACTTTAACAGCTGCTTTTATCCAAGGCTACTGATTACTTGGCCTCAGCAATGATGCTTTGTAGCAATGGGTAAACTGCAGAATGTCTGGGGACATATTAACCGCAAGGCAGAACTGCCTCTCCTACTCCTATGATCACCTTGATAATGGGTCAGAAGGAAATGAAATCTCCTTGTATCATGCCTAATCTTAAAATCTGTGCTACAAAGATGATGTGCCTATAGAAAAACATAATGAGTTCCTTTGAGGAAAACAATCTTCAAGGTTAGTCTATGCTCCAAAGGCATAACACTAGAACCTCCCAGCTGAGAGAATAATTTGGCAGAATTCCCATCCTAAAATATTTTGGGATTTGCCTTCTATGCTGCTATTCCACATTAACTTCCACTGATTCTTCCATGGATTTTACTGCTAATACTTCCCTTCCGTGGCATCAGACTATCCTTATTGGGGCAGTCTTACAGGTGACTGTTGTTACATGGTTCCTCTCTCAGTTTTCAGGAGCAGGGTATTTTAAAGATACTTCGCTGGTTTTTCCTTCTGTGATTTACTTTTCCACTTCCTAGGTCCACACAATGCCAAGTTTTGCTATTTGCACAGCAAAGACAAGGCATTTTACTAAGGGCTCTAGAGAACGTCCCATCATTGCCCCATTACACTCGTAACCAAAAAGAAGGAATAGAGATACAAATTAAAAATATACATAATAAAAAAACATTTTCCTGGTACTGCTTACCCGCTAAGCACACCGAGAACCAAGTTAAGTACAAAAAATGACCCTATGATGATTAGTGTAACAAAATAGATCCAGGGCCAGTCCCTTCCTATGGCATCATTGACCTGGAAGAGTGGAATGATAATTAGTGAGACAGGCTCAGTTTCTGAGCACTGCAAGGCTCCAGCCAAAGAGATCCCAAGTCACCAGTACCACAGATTTATCTATTTGCTTTTACAGCAGTTTATGATTGAGAACAAGCTTTTTCCTCTCCAGGTTATCTGGAGTTCAAAATTTTGGTTAGACTGAAGTGAAATACTTTCATCAGAGAATAATACTCTGCTTTTGCATGCATTTTGGCTGCTGGAGTTTTAAAAGTTCTTTGAGTGAGAAGCAACACAAAGCTTCCTCAGATTCAGGTGTTTAGCTGTTTGCATGGAGGATAGGAGGAAAGGGATCCTGGTGACAGGGAACAACCCTTATTATGGAGTCTTGCCCTGCAGCATTGGAAAAAGGACACCAAAACTGGCAGCTTACCCGCTCAACACACCAAGAACCAGATTTAGAACGAAAAAGGATCCAAAGATGACCAGACTGACAAAATACACCCATGGTAACTCATAGCCCATAGCGTCCTGCATCTGGAAAGACGAAGGAAAGTTAGAAGACAGAGAGGGAAAGCAGAAATGATTAGGTGAAGGAACAGATGGAAAGGTTTGTAAACAGAGTCTCTACTTTATGCACACATGCTTATATCATACCATGTGTGTTTTTTCCCCTTTATGTTATCTTAATGTATGAGTCTTCCCTTTCGTTTCCCCTGTTCTCTGTTTCCACATTAGTCTGACCTTTTGGGGTAACCATTAAAAATAGCAGCTCTTGTCAACAGTCACCGTGGAGTACAGTCTCATATACTAGTTATTTTCCATTCTAATCATAGGTGAGTGTGCTACTTAGAGGGCAGTGTGCAGTAACAGCTGGCAAATGCTGGCTCTTTAATGGCAATTCTCTGGTAACTGCCACACTGTTCACCATAATCATGACAGTCCTTGGGTCCCTTAGAGAAAAATCCTGACAATGCCCTTCATTTTCTGATGCTCTAGAGTGCTTTCTAAACCTTTTTAACCTGTTTTTTTCTGTCTAAAGATGCTACTTGTGTCAAAAAGGGACTCCTGAATGTCCTGATTCCTGCAGTTTCTGATTCTGTAGCTGAATGGTGCGATTGCAATCCCAGATTTGACAAGACTAGGTGGCTGCATACTGAATAGTCTGAGCACCAGAACCTGGCTATATGGAGAACTGTCAGAATAAGTCTTGTAAGCACAAATACCATTATAAGGGCCACCCCCTCTCTTAATATCCGGTTAGAATTTCATGTGTTTGAAAGTTCAAGTGAAAATATATCATCACCAGTGTCATCTTCCTCCCCATCACAAATATAACATCATTTACCTCCCTTCCAGTTCATAAATATGAATCTCCTAGGCAGATACGGCACCAGCAAAGCCCTAGGTTGTGGGCAACATCTTCAGGAGTACCTATATGACCTAGGAATTTAAGTTTGCTATTCAAAAGTCCCCAAATTCTATTTATAATATTTACTTGAGTATAAGTTGACCCCCAAATAATTACATTTTATATATGGGGAATGTATAGATATTGGACGTTTGCCTTGAATTTGTCCTCCTCCCATAGCAATAGCAGGGAAAATAAATCTAGGGGGATCAGATAGCCCTCTTGCTCTCTGCCTCTCCCCAACTTTGTCCCTCCACCCCCTCTATATGGTCAAACTTGCTTTCCCTGAGCATGTGGAAATAAGGAACATATTTGAAAACTCTGACCCTGAAATTAAATGTAGCTGTAGGAATTATGCATATAGTACACACAGACTTAGTTCACCTAGAATTGAGGCATGTTATCTTTTCTGTAACTGCTGCAAGTTTTAGCACAGGTACTCTATAAGCATAATTTAGTATCTACTTATATATAGTAATAACTATGCAAAATTAGAAGGCACCTGATTTACCACATAGCTTATTGGTCTGGGCCCCACCAGAGTCAACATCATTTCAAGCCATGGTGACCCCAGAGCTTAGCACTGCTTAGTTTGTATCTGTACTCCAGATACCCCCAACAAAGGATCCACGTGCTAATTAGCTCCCACTCCTGACTGGAACCAGATGTTTTTGTCATAAGTCCTGGGACCCTCCAAAAACATATATGCAGATGAAGCACAGGACAATTTAGTCCAGCTCTGTCTCATGGCGGGCAGGACCACACTACTCATAAGTGACAGGGTGAGAGAGTAGGCAACAGAGTTAATTGTTTGGGGCCCCTTTTGGTGATGTTTGCCAGACATTTCAGACTGTTGAAGAAACAGGAATCATTGGAAATGGGAAAGAAAGACGCAGCTCAATTGTGGGAGTGAAGAGGAACTTGAAATGTATGTAGTATAGTGGCTCACCATGACTGGAAAAAGAGTCAGTTTGAGGGGGACTGTGCTTAATGGGCAATACTCCACATTTGTTCAGATTGGTTATACTGATCTAGCCTTATGGTAGGTTCTTCTCAGTATCTTAGCCATTTTTGGTACTGAGGAGAAGGTATCAGGGCTGGTTCTAGCCCTTCCTCTGCTGGCTTCTTGGCCCAGTGTTATAGAGGGAATGCCTATCTATTTTTAAGGGACACTTACAAACACATACAAAATGATTTTTACTGGCATCTTTGCTGAATATGGGCCATATGTTTTATAGTCATGTTTAGTGTTGGCTGTGCTTAATTAACTCCATAGTTGTTTACCATTGCTGAGCACATATTGCTTTTGGTAGCAGTTTAAATGATAGATAATGTATTTAATGAGATTTCCTTGAATGAATTTATAAGGAGAGGGACTTTCCCCCCTATGCTAATTGGGGGCAAAACCCCTCATCTTGTATTTGAGTAAATATGGTAGTAAGGTGCATTGGAAAATTGTATGAGACTGATTTCTATTCATAAAAAACACTCCTTGCCTTGCAATTTAAACTTTTATCAAGATCACGGAGGTAGAAACATTCATCATTACTATGGCCATTTACACAATCTTTGGAGAAGGCAGAACTCAAGAATTCCAGGTCTTTAATAGGAGGAGGTAGGGATGTAAGAGTTATAAAACCAATTGTCTGTAGGTAGACATGTATCATTTATTTTTCTTTTAAAGTACAGTCTGAAAAATCCCACTCCAGAACTTTCCAACTCTAGTCTGATGACTGTTTTTGGCAATAGCCCACAGTTAATGGGGCAAGCCATGAATGTAGGCAGAGATCCTTCATTTGTACCTTAATAAAAGAAGCCTCATTAAAAAAGGGAACTCAAAGTTTCTCTCAGCCACCCCTGTCTAAAGAGAATTTATAGATGCCACTTCTGAAGAAGAATTCCTAGACATCCCTGTTCCCTTCACAAACATAGGAGTTCCTCTACCTGTCTTCTCTCATACATATCTATAGAATTGTTCAGTGGGTCTTATACATAACAACAATAGTGCCTAATATTTACCTAACACTTTGCATCCCAAAGGATCCAAAAGTCTATACAAAAATAGACTGATATAAAAATTAAACATCCACCTCTAAATTGCTGGCTGCTTTGCCATGAAACACAAGACACCGTTTAAGAACTGCCCAGCAGCACTGTATAGGAGTGCAGGAAAGGAGGAACAACATGTCCATTTGAAATCACAGACAGAAATTTGGCAACCAGAGTATAATTACACAAACTGGAAGTGGGCCAGAGGATGAGGCTTAATACTCTATCTCTTATGAAGAATGCCAGGGCATTTTAATGACTATAAATTAACTTTGCAAAACTGCCATAAAAATGTAAAAGTGCAGGCACAAAAATGACTTTACTTCCCTTAATCATGAGTGACGATGATAAAAGAAACTTAACAATATATTACTTATCCATCAAAAAAATTACTTAGCCTTAGTGAATGGATGAGTGAAGTTTTTAAAGGCTAGAACAAGGGTATTACTAAGCTCCTCTGAGTCAGATCCATAAAGCACTATGGCAGAATTAGGGGACCTTTCAGCAGGGACAGAGTTTCCTGCTCCATCCCACCCCATCCTAAGAAGGGGATGTGGCTAGAATATGCAATGTTCCAGACACTCATAACTAAAGTGTGGTCCTTGGTGGACTATGACAACTGGAGGCTGCCTGAACTGGCCTTGAGAACTTGGTGCATTTTGGACCTCTGATACAAGAGTCCTGGATCTCTGAATAGGTTTCATCTGCCTTTTACTGCTCACTCTTATGTATAGAGAAATGGCTGAGCAACAACTGTATCAGTTTTATCTGTTTGGTCTAAGTCATTAGATTTTAATAAGGAGAAGGTTCTTTAGCATGGCCCAGATCCTATTTTACTGGTTAGGCATCCATGCGTACTTATGGCACCTAAGTGCTGAATTATTCCAATTTCCTTGTGTTCCTGAAGAAATCATGAAACATCTATTTCTGTAATGCATCTTAGCTTTAACACTAATTTGTAAAGCAATAAAAGCAGTGAGGATGGGGAAGGCCTACCCACCTTTTGTGTTAATGGCTTTTCAGAAACTCAAGCAGAGTGGAATAGGATTGCAGCTAGGTGTCAAATAGGTGGAATATGATCTGGCTCTATGTCTCTTCCTGGACTCGGTCACACAGAGCCTTGTGTAATGCTGAACTCTCTTATGTCGCATTAGGTTCAGTTGGAGGTGAAAGGAAGGAAGAAGCAGGAAGTCCTTCTAAGTTGTAGATTCTCCAGGACTTGACTTATTTGTGGAAAATACAACCTTCTTCTAAAAAGGCAGTATAGCAATCATTCTCTAGATATTCATGAATGTTTGGGGGGCGATGAGCAGAAGAAAAATCATGGGCCACTTAACAGGAATTGGAAAAGAAAACAAATACTTTTCCTCAGAATAACAGCAGCAATGTATTATATGCAGAAAACCTTATATCTTCAGGTAAGATTACAAGTCCCCAGGCAGGAAATACTTTCTGTAAAATGAAGTCGTCCCATCAGTTGGGGACAACACACTATATTATCATCAGAAAACACCCTGAATCTATGCTTGGTTCAAAAATCTTTTCTGGCTATTTTTCAACA